CAAGACAGTGCCTATGGAGACTTAATTGACTTTGTTAGATAGCAAGAGATTGACTTTATTTAATATAGGTCTCACTGTAACTTGGTCTTGAACATCCTGTAGAAAAGTATAACTATATAAGATAATAGCTATTTGAGTTCAGCAAAAGTTTTAAGTTTTTTTAGCCAACATTGTTTAAATAAATAAATAAATAAATAAATTTATTATTTGATTTTTCATCCTTTTATAGCCCCAATTAATAGAAATTATGCTTATAGACAGCTAAGCTAGTCAAACACACTATAGATCCTCACAATATATAGGATCAAGGTATTGTTGGGTGTGCTCACTTTTCCTAAAAACACCTTCACGTAAAACAAAAAGAAAGGGAGATCTGTTGGGGCAATGCTACATAATTCTAGGGAAAAATCATTTGAGTAGGCCTAGTTCTCCTGCCTACAAGCCAGCTATAACACTCCAAGACATAATTCCATTTTGGCCTCAGGTAACAAGGGTGATCTCAATGATCCCATGACGCTGTAATGCTCCAAGACAAGACCACACCTGTGGGAGACGCCCTGGCAGGAACCAAATCTTCATCTGTGTAGTTCCTGGGAGGAACTAAATCTTCATCTGCATAGTTCCTCGTTGTTCTTAGATTTCTGCGGCCCCCACCCAGTCTTTTGTTACACCTTGTTCATCCCAGTGTGATACTGAAATCTACATTATTCATTTGTTACATTTGTTTCTCCCCATGTACTGAATAAAAGGTGCTGCAAGCTAGGACTTCTTGTCTTTACCGCCCAGAGCAGCACTGATCAGACCCAAAGCTCAGCTTCTTCTCAGTCTCATTTGTCTACCTTTCCTGTGATTCGCCTTGTGCTGCCGTGGCTCGCAGGAGACTAGGACTTACTGCAGAGGTTCTGGTAACGCCCCCTTCCCCTGTTCCCTACACCGATCTAAGGTCATAAATCCATTCTCTTGTGATTTCTACTATTGCTTTTATGTTTTCATATTTTGCTTTTGACTATGTGGCATTTGGCATTTATCTTT